TCGGATACCATGTAGTCATCACCATCCTGTTATGATAGTTCCAATGCAATCAAATGAACTGTATGCAAAGAGGTCCATAAACCAAAAAGGACAACTGACATAGACCCACAAACTGACTCAATATAAGACACTAAACAGACGAGGTGCATTATCTCAGCACTTAAGTGCCATCCATCGTTCCCTTGATTTTTCATCCCTTGCTAGAACAAGTCACACTGCCACAGAAAGTCTTCACACTACGTAGAATGATAGCAGAGAACATGGCAATATTACATGATATAATGGAGGCAGGAACAAGTCACCACAAAAGAATGCTTCAGGCAACTTTGACAGGATACCAATAATGCTTGGGGGAAATGTGAAAATTATGACAGTGGTTGCACTGTACAGAGCTAGGAAGTAGTTTCACTTCAAGGACAGATTTTATAAAGACCACTCATTATAAAACAGGATCTTGTCTCATAGAAATCTATAGGGTTCTGGAAACATGATATCCTTGCCATGGAGAATAGAGAATGCGCTTCTGTCTAAACTGGTTTTTCAAAAAAGAATGGCCTAATTTTTCATCTCTCACAAGAACATATGTGGTTGCTGCACAAAACAAAAGGCTACCAGACTTTCATGCTCCATCAAGTACTATGTCCAGATTGCAGCTCCTATTGCAAAAACATAATGGATGGGCTTAAAGTCTTAATTACCAGCAACAATTCCACCATTATTTTTAATACTAGCAATCAACAATAAACCTCGTGTCCTTCCCTTCTGACTGCCTTCGCACTTTCTCATTAAAATAGATCTCTCAAGATTTAAAGTTTATCTTGAAAATATAGAAATATGTGGAATGCATCCGAACCTACAACAGACCAATAAAATTGAAGAGCATAAAGCATAATCATACAACTGAAACATCAAGAATGAATAAACTCATTTGGATAATCAAACTTTTACTTTTATTTTCCATCTATTTCATCACAACATATCTTTTCCTTGCAATCAGTTTAAGGAGGGTCTAGAAGAGAATCAAATCTTATAAATAGTGGATATAATTCATACAGGTGGGCTGCCTATCTACAGACATTATCAGCCAAAGCACAATATGCCCAGAGTGCTGAGGATACCATGGCTAGTCAAACAGACAAATAAAATGGGTTCTAGAACACATCATGCCCGAATTCTCCCAGGAAGTCAGGATGACTAATTTGCATATGGACAAAAATCATGGGTTCAATTTTTCTCCTAGCAGCAAAGTCTTGTTTGCTTCATATTAGACCTCTAAAGGCTAACTGCAAATCTAAGGGCCTTTGCAGACTGCCAGAAATAGTGCACATTAAATTGAGGCACTGCCCTGGCTCAGTGCTAGGGAATCATGGGAACTGTAATTTATTGTGGCACCAGAGTTCTCTGACAGAGAAGGCTCAATGTCTCAGAAAAAAATACAATTCTCATGATTCCCTATCACTGAACCAGGACAGTGCCTCAATTTAATGTGCACTATTTCTGGCAGTGTGCAAAGGCCCTTAGACTCTAGAAATGAAGAAATTTGCTTTTTTCTATGTTTGAATTTTATAAACCTCAAGTTCTTTCCATCCTGAATATGAAGAAATTTGCAAATTTTGATCAGTCCTTAAAAAAGTGAACTGAAACAAAATTATCCTCCAGACCAAACTCAAAAGGCAGCTAACCCCAATATGGAGAGGATCTTGTTATACCTGCCCACTATGTATATGTGAAAGAAGAGGAAAAAACAAACAAGCAGGTGGCAACCTTGACTAACATGTCTGAATACACAGGGATTCAATTCCAGAGTTAAGTACCCAAAGCCTGAATGGATAAATCTGTCATTCAATGTTCCCGCATTTGTATTTTTAAAAATCTCAAGTTCTTTCTGTCACAAATGTGAAGCGGTCTGCAAAATGTGGTAAATTCTTACAAAAAAGGAAAGGAAATTCTCTGTTTCATGTCTATTGTCTCCCACTACAGGTGTTGGCCGGACAAGTGGCTCCCCCTGTTGACCAAATCTTCCATGAGATGTTACAAATTAGGTTGCTCTATTTCCTTGTCTCTCTGAGACCTTCTACTGCTTCTGTAGGAGATACAGTGTTCCTCAGTCTCCCTCATCTTGTAACATTTATAAACATGCAACACATTCCAAAGTCCCTATTGTGGTCACACCTGAATCATGGCAACCAAAAAAGACACAAAATTCTCAACAAGAAGCCAATATTTTCTGGACCATTGATGATTAGAAACATGATAGAATTCTGCAGAACTTCAGTAACGCATCCCTCACCTGGAAGCCCTGCACCAAGATTTGCCTAGAAAACACACAAAGGGAATATTACATACAATAAAAGAAGCTTAACCTGAATAACAAACAAACAAAAAACCCAAAGGAGCAAATTGTTTGCCTCAAGGAATAAATAGCAAACAAGAACAATATTGCCAAGTCTTATAAGTATATAACAAGAAAGCCGGGTCTGCAAATCAACTAATGTGCCTGAACTTAAATGTTTTAATTAGAGACGTGATTATAAAAGGAAAAAGTGGGATTTAAGATCATGCTGTGGTTTTCCCCCTAAATGAAATGTACACTATTTCGTCAGAAAAAAAGATTGCAGTTATGCCAAGATGGCCTTGCAGACAGGTACAAGAGTCGCAGGTACAAGATAAGAACCAGGCATTGAACCTCCCATGCAGTCACTGGCAGCCAGAAGCCAACCCTTTGAGCACAGATCTTCCCTTTGCACCAGCTGCAGTCGTCCACAGTTGTCTCCTCTTACCTCCAATAAAACCCATCCTTGCAGAGAGGTGGCTGGCTGTCCCAACAGCAAGGGCTGCAGCCCCCAAGGGTTGGTGCTTCCATAACCTGCATCTCCCTGTTCTCAGCAGCAGTGCCAGGCAGAAAGTGATGGGCTACTACTATGGCGACTTCATAGACTGTCACCAGCTTAGATTTATAGTGAGACCATCTTATTCCAGGAGAGCACAGGGAAGTGGGGAGGGGGGGATGCAAAAGCTTTTGGCCATCCTTAATATCCCACTGCAGTCAGGAAGGGGAGAAAGCTCTACCATAGGCAAGATTTCAACACAATTTTAACATAAAATGAAATGAAACACCTCAGCATCTGGCCTTTCCAAACTGAGGCGCTCTCCTCCTTTCTTTCCTCCAACAAACAGGTAAAGGTAGCTTTCAGACACACACTACTGCTATCCTTGCCCCCTTCCCCATAGTTTGTTAGAGACCTGGGTTTGGAAGAGTTCCTCCACGCTCAGGAAAGATGTGGGAAGAGGGTAGCCCAGGCTCCTTGCTGGTTGTGTAAGGGTGTGTGTAAGTGTGTGTGTATTTGTGAGTGCGCCCTGAGGGCAACGTAAACAGATATGGAGATGGGTGGGTGGGTGTGAGTGTGGGTGTGAGTGGGTGCCAATATCGACCTCTTCTGTGTGTGTTTCGGGAAGGAATGGCTCCAAGCTGTCTCTTATTGATTTATCTCTGCTTTGAGTCCCTATATTGGGAAAAAGCTGGGATATAAGTAAATAAAATGATGATGATGATAGTAATGATAATACTGATGATAATACTAAGCACAGGGAA